CTAGGACTTGACTGGTGATACTAAAACTTTGTTGGATAGATATCAGGCATTTTACAAGCAGGACCCTTTCCACGAAGACACAGTTGAAGCTGGGGAAGAGCTGCTGCATGCACTAATTGAAAATTGTAAATCGCGATAGTGCACATTAGTCAAGAACCAAGACATGAAACAAAACAAAACTCCTTAAAAATCTAGGTGGAGACCGAAACCAACTACAGCAAAACCATACAGACATAACAGCAGACCAAATAGACAGTCAGTTGCTGAAGAATGGAAAAACAAAAGGTAAAAATGGTGCAGGAACAAGCCATCCAAACAAAGGAACAAATACCCCTTTTGTGATATCTGAACTGAAGCTATAAAGAATATGAAATTGAATAAAACCATTGATGACATAACAGCAGAAGGATAAAATAACTTGGTCCTAGTACTTTGGATTGGCTCCTGCAGTTGATGAACTGTATAGCCAAGTTTAAGATCCCAAAATTGTGAAGGCAGGCTAGAGTTGCTGCCTTACTGAAATCCAGCAACAATCCAGATGATCCAAAAAATTACTGACCAGTATCACTTCTCTGCCATCACTACAAGGCCCTGGAATGAATGGTTCTAAACAGTATTTCAAAATTTATTAATGAAAAGTTCATAAAGGAATGAGCAGGTTTTAGACCAGGGAAGTCATGTTGTGGTGAAATCCTAAGTCTTACACAATATATTGAGAATGATTTGGAAAAATAGCTAGTTATTGGAGTGACTTTCATCGACTTAACTGCAGCATATGACACTGCTGACCATAGGATATTTGCTATGTAAGTTAAATAATATTACTGGAGATAACAAGCTTATCCGGATCATTGGCCGCTTCCTTCAGAATAGGAGATTCTATGTGACACTGATTGGTAAGAACAGTACTGTAGGTGGAGGATGCAGAAGAACAGACTGCCACAAGGAAGTGTATTGTCTCTACATTGTATAACATATATATGAACAATCAAGCAGTCCCCAATAACACATACCTATTCATCTATGCAGATAGTACAGCAGTGGTCGCACAAGGATCAACTTTTGATGAGATAGCTGGGAAACTTGAGGTAGCACTTGAGGAATTAAGATGATTGAAGTGTGTTTGAATATTAGTAGCTCGGGATGGTAGTTGGGCTGTTGGCTTGATCTCCGAACTTGGTGATTTGGCTGTAAACATTTCGTCTCCATTCGGGAGGACATCTTTAGTGCGCTTTGAATTGGACTGAAGATTTCCCCCCGAATGGAGATGAAACATTTGAGCCAAATCGCCAAGCTCGGAGATCAAATCAACAGCCTGAATTAGGATGATATTACACCATCAACCATCTGAAGCCTAACCCAAACAAGAGCCAAGTGTGTGCTTTCCACCTTCAAAATCGAGATGCAAGGGAAGAGTTGGATATTATGTAGCCAGAGAACTGACTACACCGAAAGATGCTCTCTTTTCAACAGCATTTCCTGAACAATAAGGATAAAGTCAGTTTGAAGAAATTGATAAACTGCACATGGGGAGATCAGCCATCTACATTGCCACATCAGCTTTGGCCCTGAGGGTCTTTGCAGCAGAGTATGCTGCTCCATTGTAGGGCACATCTGCCCACATAAAACAAATTGACATTGCTGTCAATGAAGCAGTGCGTTTAATGACAGGATGTCTCAAACCTACACCAATTGAGAAAATATATTCTCTTGCTGGCACTGTCCCACTTAAGATCAGGAGAGAAATAGCAGCAGACACCAAGAGAATTAAGCAAGATATGATCCTCGATATTGTATGAACGGAAGCCTGCCAACTCAGATCTAGGAAAACCTATAGGCAAGAATAAATATTCATTTTTTACTGTGGGCACATTGGCATACATTAAAAATGAAATTTTGTTGCTTGCTCTCAAAAGTGAACACATACATAGCACACATATAAACATGCTATATACAACATATGTATAAACCTACACCCTTACATATAAATACATATAAATATTAATCACCATCTATCTTGAATACATAGCAGAAAGAGGAAGGTTGAGAATTCACAAGGTTAATACTGTATGGAATAAAACTGTGACTGAATCTGGATGTTCTGCTTCAGATACCATGAAGCCTCCTCCCAGAAGCTAACGAAAACAGGTTGTGAAGAGTATGTGTAGTGTCCCAGACAATCTTGCAGACCCTGCAAGAACTGCCAATAATCTTTTCTGCCATCCTCACCACTCTCTGCACCGCCTTCCTGTCTGAAGCAGTGATGCTTCCAAACCAGACCGTAATGAAGCAGTGATGCTTCCAAACCAGACTGCTGTATGACAGAATGCTCTCAATCATCCCTCTATAGAAAGTCGTAAGGACAGGGGAAGGTACTTTTCTTATGCCATGCAGAAAATGTTGGTACTGCTATGCCCACTTCAGTGTCTTACTGTTGAATGACCAAGCCAGCCTAGTCATTAGCTGCACACCCAAAAATGTGATGCTGCTAACCATCTCCACAGGTGAATCATTAATATATAGAGGAGTATGACTGTGCCTGCCTTTTCTGAAATCGACAATGATCTCTTTAGTTTTTTCAGTGTTTAAAATTATGCTGTTTTTCTTACACCAGTTCACCAAACCCTCTACCTCCTTGCGGGAAGCACTCTCATTATCATCTTGAATAATGGACTTAGGACACAGCCCTGAAGAGAACCTGTGTTCCAGAAAATGATGTTAGAGATATTAGTCCCAACTCACATGTACTAGGGCCTATCAATAAGAAATCAAGAGTATAGTTGCACAAAGGAGTATTAAAGTCTAAAAGGCCCAGTTTGTCTACTAGATGCTGAGGAATGATTGTATTAAATGCCAAACTTAAGTTGACAAACATATAGCATTTTATTGACATCTCACTCCAGACCAGCACCTCTACATAGACCAACCAAAGAGGTTACTCTGAGTAAGAGCTACTGACTCAGTAAGATTTATTTCATGTAAGGGTGGACAGAATGCTCTTGCAGAGGGGAAAAGACGATTGCAGAGAGTAGCCACTGTCCCAAATAGGTATAATTGAGAGATATATTATCATTTTTACAAATTTGTTGAGTTAACCTTTTCACTTGCTGTTTTATAGACAGTCAGTGTGGCTTGGTTGGCTTCTAATATGAAGAATTATGTATTTCCCAGTATAGTTTCTTACCATGAATCTTCATAAACATGTTGTATCTTTTGTGCATTTTATGCATTAGTGAATATATTGCTTCATGAGAAAATTCTGGATACAAAGAAATATTTGTTTGCCTAGAGAATATTATTCTCACTGAATTAATCCAATGTCAGATGGGGATTAAATTGCTATGAGAATCATATAGGCATTGGGGATTAGAGTGGCCTGAGACATTTTGCAGCCTGATTACACATAAAAGCTATCTCTGGTGCTGGATTCATTTGTACAAATAAATGAGTGAAGTTCTCAGGAGATGCAGGCAGCACTATGCAAAGGTATGCAACTTCACAGAGGAATTGTAAATGATATTTACAAACATTTGATATGTTTCTTGGAATTCACAGAGAGTACAGATTTAATTACCTCTATATATACACAAGGGCAATTTGGAAATAAACCTCTATTTGGTTATCAATGACAGACACTCGCAGATACAGAACTTTTATTATACACATTAGAAAACTATGACATTACATTACATTTTGACATAATCACCATTCAAATTGAGGCACTTAACATCTTATAAGGTTTGAAATTCCTTAGTAGTAGTCACTCACTGCCAAATCTGGGAGGGTGTGATCAAAAACATCCCAACAGAACTGCTTCAAAAGTTCTTGGGTGAGTCTAGTGGCGTGCGGGTGAGCATTATCGTGAACCAACACCACAGCAGAAGTGGTGCCATAGAAAATCCCAACACATGTGAAGATGCCAAAGGAGTAGTGCTAGTGACATTCATGGAGGGTGGTTCAACCATTAATTCAGAAGTCTACTATGAAACGTTACGAAAATTCAGACGAGACATCCATAACAAGCATTGGGGCATGTTGACTTCCAATGTGGTGTTGGTTCACGATATTGCTCGACGCTTCCAAGAACTTTTGTTGAAAAGTAATGTAATGTTGTTGTTTTCTAATGTGTATAATAAAAGTTCTGTATCTGAGAGTGTCTGTCAATGATAACAAAATGGAGTTTTATTTCCAAATTGTCCTCATAGCTTAGTAGATGAACTGTACTGAGGATATTTCCATTTGGTTTCTTGTCTTTGTTAAGAGATAGTCTGTCATATTCTGCTTTAGGATGTTGCATGTAGTATACATACTGTTATATGCAATGTTCTCTATACATATTCATTCTGATGTTAAGGACTTTCAAACCTATTCTTTGCTTTATATTTCATCAGCCTGTTTTACTGCTACACCAAGGACAGTTTGCTAGAGTTTAAACTCTCTGGAGTCAAGACTTATTCTACTTATACATCCAGCACTGTAAACAAATCTTTGATCCATCCAGCTCAATAGTATCTGGCAGTCATTTTTCAAGGTTTCAAACATGCATTTTTCCCACTCGTGGCTTGAGATATAGGGGAATATCATAAGAACTTCTCATAGGAAAGGTTTGTCACTGGACCAGTCTTCTAGGTACAGCAGCCAGCAATCTTGATTGTTTCAGAAGTGCTCATCAAGCCTGCTCCACATCTCGAAAAGGTCTCCATGGTTCAAGAGTGAGATATATTACTTTATAATGTTTTTATTCTAAAGACCAATGATTTGATAAGAGATATAGGATGACCTGGGATATGGAACATAAGTTTCTACAGCCTATCTACACTAGATAATTTATAGTATAGGCCTATGTGTATATTTGCTCAAAAAAAGAGCCAGGATTGTGAGTAAGAACAATTATCAGGACCAAATCACACATGACATCCATCATTCAATCTTTGAATATTTCAGTCTAAAACAGGCAGACGATTTCTCATTTTACCACAGAAAAAGGCTTGAATTTTGGAAATCTTTATATAAAACTTAATAATAGGAAACAGTTAAAAAATAACTGCCAACAAAGCAATATAACTTCTGCAACATATCCAGATCCCCCAGTTCAATGGCATAGCTGTATCTGCAAGGCTTGCAAAAGGCCAACAAAGTCAATCTAAAGCCAATCTACTGTAATTTCCTGGATTGTGATGTTCCAAAGGGTGGAGCCATGACAGAAAAGGCTCTCTTCCTAGCAAATGGGACCAGGACTATTCCTCTCCTGCCAGACCAAATTAGTCTTTAAGTTCTGTTATATATGCTCCTTTCCTTCACAAAAAAAATTGCGTTCAGCCTTTATTTAAGCACAATACAAAGCTCCCCCATTTTTTGTTAGCCTTGAATATTTTGTGAAAGTGATATTGTCATTTTCTTTAGATTCCTGGAATTTATTATCAATTCAAACAAATGTCTCTAGGCCAATGCCAAGAGATGGACTAAAAATGAACAGCTTGAGTCTTTTCATCAGCATCTCAGAGTGAGGAGGCATTATTCAGAAAAAAAGTGCCCTGGGTTTCTGTGTTGCTTCTACAACCAAAGTTGATCCTTCTAAAGAGGCTTCGCTGTATATCAGAGCCAAGGAGATGGTCTTGGCCAATTCTGGGAGAAGACTGCAGATGCCCTGTTGGCAGGTGTGGTGCTGCTTGTGTCAACATGACAAGAGACTAGAACCCTGCTTAGTGAGGCCTGTGCTAACTGTTTCACTTTCCTGACAATTAATCTGGAAATCTTCCTAAATTCTACATCTGCTCATCTAATTAACACACTGTGGGATGAAGCTGAGTAAAGATGGGCTGAACTGAGAATCATTTGTTTTCTTTTATTTGCCTTTCTGTGAAGCTTTGGGATATTCCCTTGCCTTTGCCAACAAGAGATTGGCTGTCACACAGACAAACAGATGTCCGTGTCTCCATGAGACCGATGCAGTTAAATTCTCTGTGCAAGACAATACTGAACTATCCTGACTACCTTAACAGTTCAAAATTCCAAGTTAGGCCTGTGTTGCATTTCTGCCCATTAGTTTTTAGGCAGCTTGGGCTTCCTCAACTGTTGAACAGTTACATTTCTTTAAAAAGTCTTTTATTCTTAAGCCTTGAGTAGCATGTCTGTGAAGCTAATGACCAGAGTTTGTGATAAATTTAAAGTCCATTTGCATCTCAAAAAACTTCCTTCCTTCTTTCTTTCTTTCCTCCTTTCCTCCTTTTCTTCTTTCCTTCCTTTCTTCCTGTTAGATTTTTGCATCTCTATGAAAAATATAAACGGTAAATCAAAGGACTTGCATTCATTTCTGCATCTTAAACATGTCTACATGAAAATTATATAATTTGCATAATTCTTATCTTCTTTTTTCCCCTCTTTCCCTTTTTTCAGATACTTTCCAAAAAACATAGATAAATCCATGCTATTTGATAATTTTTTTCTAGCCATTTATATTTTCCCCATGTTTTTCAATTATCATTATTCTTTTTTTGTCACAGTGTTTATAATTGCTGTCTTTTCAGAGCCTATATATGTTATATAATTGTTACAGTATGTCCTTTTGAATTCAGCAGGATTTATTTATTAGTAAAAGTTATTTTGATTGTATCTCATCTGCTATTATTTGCCTTGAGATACTAGGATCTTGGCTTCCTCTAAGCAAAAACCTGTTCGATATTTTAAAAAACAAACAACTTTGCAGAAACCCTGAGAGTGAAAAGAGGTAAATCAGTTTCTTTGAGTTATCTTATTGCTTCAGTGATTCATAACTCAAGACTAAGGATGGACAAATTGATCAATTTCAATTTCTGTCCATTATTCATTTTTGTTGTCTTAAATTAATTCTTACCCACTTCTGAACCAGTCAGGAACGAGCACATGCAAACTGCCAGTATTTACATAACTATTTCCCTCCAATATACATTTCTGCAAACAATATTTCCTATTATACTGTACTATATGTATTATTTTCATTAATGTAGCTATTTTCTCCTCGAAAGATCTATTTATGTTTGCCTTGAAAATTGTAGTTTTGAAGGATAGCTATAGTTCAATTAATTGTTTTGAAAGTGTAGAGCTGCATAATTTCACATTAAGATGTCAGTCACTTTTTTCTCTTATCTCTACTCAAGATATAAATAAGCCAAAGCTTCCTTCTTTTGCCTCTGTGCCATCCACTTGAGATTTGTTGCCCTTCTTGCCCCTCAAAACTAGATTTCATTTGTGACACCCGTCGTGCAAAATGCATAGATCAATACTTCTCATGATATAGTTCCTCAGTTTCAAGGAAAAACTGGTGAAAACAATGTTTGGGAATGGAACTTTGTAAAGAAATTTTAGTAGGCTCCAAAAATGAAATTATATAATATAAAATAAAGTAAAATAAAATAAAATAATAAAACAAAACAAAATAAAATAGAAGGACTATAAACAGATGGAGCGAAAAAAACTCTCTTCCCCAGCCTTCTCTTACACACAAACAGAGAGAACTGCAAG